TAATACCGACTAAATTGGCCAACATTATAACTAATGCCGGCTAACCTTGTCGGTATTAGGTCCTTTCGGGATTTTGTGGTAAAACCCAATTTTTGCTACGTATAAGCCTAAACAGTCACGGTTTAAATACAAAGAGGAAATTTCTTTGAAATTTTCGTTAGCTATTTTATTATAAAAATTTTTTTTACTTGCAAAAAAAAAACAGCTGAATAATAAGTTTAATCAAATTATAATAATAAAAGCCATTAATTAAAATTCAGTCAATTAGATAATCGATAAATAAAAAAAACCATGTTTTAGTTTAGTTTTTTTTTACAAAACAACGAAAGAATAAATTATTTTAGCTAAAAGTTTTGTTCGATTATTAAATAAAATAAAATAAAATAAATAAAATCATTTAATAAAGATAATGATTAATTAATTCGAAAATAAATTAATATAAGTTAATACAAACTCTCGTTCAATAAAAAAACATAGCCTCAGTTCTATATAATAATATATATAATAAATTTGATAACTTTGAACGATATAAAATTTTAAATACATAATATACAGTTGTTGTTGTTGTTGTTTTTTTTCTAAGAAGGTGAAAGAGTACACTATTTACAAGGAACTAATTTTTATATATATATACAATACTAATTTTTTTTTAAGATTATCAATGTCTTCTACCTTGTTACTTTTTTTTTTTTTTGTGATTAATGAATGAATGAATAAATAAATGAATGAATATATATATTATGAACCACCAACACCAGCACCATGAAATTCACCAGATTCTTCATCATGAATTTCTTCTGTACTAGATATAATACCAGGACTTTGTTGAGGTGAAGATATTCTAATTGCAGGACCAGGTTGAACAGGAACAAAACCACTTAAAAAATGAGGATGTTTACGAGATGATACTCTTTTTGAAGCTGAAGCTTTTCCAACTTGCCACCATTTTGAACCGGATTTTTTGGAATCTCTTGAAAAAATTATACAATCATATATATGACTAATAATATTTGTTAATATTATTAATGCACATGTAAATACTGTTATTAATGGAACGAAAGTAAATAAAACTACTCGTTGTAAATATAAAATCTAATTTATTTTTTTTTTTTTTAAAAAAAAAAAAAAATTTTTTTAATGATTATAAAAAAAAAAAAAAAAAAAAAAAGAACAAAAATTAAAAAAAATTTTAAATAATTTTAAAACATACCAGAATTATGAATTGTGGTATATCTTCAATAAACATAACAAACAAAGTACATAAGTATAAAGCTTCATATACACCTTCATTAAAAGGTGCTTGAACACATGATGAATTTGAAATATCTGAAGAAGCAAAATCTAAAGATTCTAAATCGAGGTAACTTAAAACGATAAATACTGAGGTTGCAATAACATTTTGTTTGGCCCAATAATGAAATTTATCATTTCCATAAAATTCTTTAAAGAATAAAAACATGGTAATGAAAAAATTGACAGCAATTGAAGCCAAAATTATTAAAAAACTATAATATATATTAAAAATATAAATCGTTAAAAAAATGATGAAAAATTATCGAAAAAAAATTACTATAAAAAAAAAAAATTACCTTGGAAGAAATAGAACAGGTACATCACGACTTCGAGTGAAAAGGAAAAATAGATCAAGGACAAAATCAGAATATATTAAAACAAATTTAAAAAGTTCCATGCTTCTTCCCTAATATAACCCACAAAATAATATTGAAATTATATTAATAAATATTATTTCACAAAGAGTTGAATCAGTCAGAAATATTATTATTACCTCCGGATGAGTATGATTCGCCAAAAAGATTATAACAAATAAGACAAATATAATACATATCACCCCCG